TCCCTCTCTCTCAATCAATCTCTCTCTCAAATAAATAAATAAAATCTTAAAAAAAAAAAAAAAAAAGAGTCCCGGAAGAACACTTTCTCTTAAAATCAGAAACCATGATCTTTTTTTTTTTTTTAAGATTTTTTCATTTATTTAAGAGAGAGAACACCAGCAGGGGAAGCAGCAGAGGGAGAGGGAGAAGCAGGCTCCCCGATGAGCAGGGAGCCTGATGCAGGCTCAATCCCAAGACCCCAGGATCATGATGTGAGCCGAAGTCAGATGCTTAACCGACTGAGCCACCCATGTGCCCCAGAAACCACGCTCTTAAGACCATGATAGACAGGATGCTGCTGGAATAATTTGGTCTAGTTAGTCTATTTTTTGGTTAAGCTCTAAATGCAACAAGAACAAGAGCAATAGGGCGCCTGGGTGGCTCAGTTGGTTAAGCAACTGCCTTCGGCTCAGGTCATGATCCTGGAGTCCCTGGACCGAGTCCCTGGATCGGGCTCCCTGCTCGGCAAGGAGTCTGCTTCTCCCTCTGACCCTCCCCCCTCTCATGTGCTCTCTCTCATTCTCTCTCTCTCAAATAAATAAATAAAATCTTTGAAAAAAAAAAAAGAACAAGAGCAATACAAACAAAACAAGAGATAACGATAATTTAGTGAAAACTTGGTACAACACCTTCCTTCGCATGTCCCTGTGCAACTAACCATTTTACAGAAGGCAAGAGGGAACTGAGGCTTAGAGGAAGTAACTTTATTGCTAAACATCTCTAGTATTTATATCTACTTTTCTGCTGTAGTAAGCACAAAATGTTGGCATGGGCTCCAGTTTCATCTTCTTGAACTTCTGTGCTCTCCGCTGTACACTATGGAAGCAGATGAAGGATCACATACATTAACACTAGGACCAATCATCAAAGTCATGTTTTGTTTTTCAATCCTTGATCCAAATTATGGTCTTATGATTTGCCTCCTTCCCAACAAAAATCCCAGTTCATATTTGAATGCTACGGTAACCGGAAATTTTATTATTTGAAACTTCACCTAATATTTTACCAACACTTCTTGACTAAAATGCTTTCGAACAATTTCATTTAATCAGTTTTTATAAAACTCATTGAACATGGAGGATTCTAAAAATCTCTAAGAGTAACATGAAAATACTCATATTTTTATGGCACATCTAGAGGCCATCGAAACCACCAAAATCATGAGTTAGAAATGCATTTTTAATATCATAAGAGTAATCAAAAGACAACAGAGAAACCTTTCTTTCTTTAAAAAAAAAAGTAAAAAAATTTTCTTTCTAAATGTAAGATAATCACCTAGAGGTAATAAAATTGTCTTTTAATCCTTAAAAATATAATACAGATGGCTATTTCTTCTAAAATTTATTTCTTTAGGCACTTATGGGGCCCAAGTAATTTATTATGAAAAGCTGAGAGAATGAATGTATCCTACTTTGTATTACCTAGCAGCCATTAAAGCTGAATTCCTCAATCAAAAAGATGACTTTCATAGTAACATGACCTGAGCATCTAAGAGGTAACTGACAGTTAAAACCTAGACCTTCCAAAAGCTCTGAGAAAGGCTGAATGAGCTCCAGAACACAGAAAGCTAATTCCCGGGATGCCAGACCACTAGGGAAGGTCTTCAGAGGTCAAGGGCTCCCGTTTTTTCTCTCACTACTCAAATTATGAAGCCAGTCTGTGTTCTTCTCCCAACCCCTGTTGGTAACAAAGCTAGAAATGCCTAACATGAGAGGTATTTGGGAAACACTTTGCTGGAAAATTACTTGTCTGCAAGGGCTTCAATTATCTATCACTTGAGAATGAAACCCTTTTATAAATCTATCTGAAAATTCCCTCTCTACCTTAAATTCTTAAACTCCTTCTGAATTCCAGAAGGGATGACTTTATTATTTTTTTATTTTTTAAAAAGATTTTATTTATTTATTTGACACAGAGAGAGAGACAGCAAGAGAGGGAACACAAGCAGGGAGAGTGGGAGAGGGAGAAGCAGGCTCCCCGCTGAGCAGGAGCTCGATCCCAGGACCCAGAGATCATGACCTGAGCCAAATGCAGATGCTTAACTGACTGAGCTACCCAGGTGCCCCTTGAAGGGATGACTTTAAAACCATATTCTCAATTTAAAAATGCAGCATGCTTAGTAAAATTACTACAAGTAGAGAAAGCAAAGAAGGGAAGAGACACCAGAGAAAAGGAGAGGAGAGAAGAGGACAGGAGAGAGTGGACAGGAAGGAGAAAGGAGGGGAAGTGAGGGAAGGGAGGAAATAAGAGGCCACTAACAGCACAGGAATATTAGCTCTGTGTAAAATTATCATCTACCAG